TAGCTGAGTCTCCAACCCTAGCTAGCCCGTTAACCATAACGCGGAGCGCGGAGCCCGTGTGCGTGTAGAAAGAACAAAGCGTCGCTAAGGAGCCGTTGCCAACCACCCATAACGCAGAGGGCAGACGCTCGTGCACGTGTAGGGAGGAGCCAGAGACAAGGCCGTCTCTGGGGACATCTGAGCATCAACATGACTGTTCGGGGGTTCGGAAAATCGTTTGGAGAGAAAACATGGAGAAAACAGCTCGGAGAAACATTATGGCAATATACGAAGATTGAAGAATATTTAGAAAAATATTAAAGCGTGACTTAGCTTTAGATAGAACGTCTAGTCGGTGGCGTTTGGCGTTATCTAGTCGGCGTTAGGCAGGTCGGATACGGATAGATCGTTGTCGTAGCCGCATTCAATCTGGTCGGAGAAGCGATGCTACATGACGCTTTGGGATGGTCGAGCGGAATAGTCGATTGCCGCAGTAAGCGGTGAGAGCTGCTCCCCGGTATATTCTTGATGAAGCCGAGTAGTTCTGGATCGTCTTCTATGTTGTTGCCATTGCTGCAGGGCTTTGTGTTGAGTCGAATCGTCGGATCATGCATGGAGATGTACGTATACATGCAAGCAACCAAGATTGGTTTGGCTTGCAAGTTGCTGCACGTGTGTCACCGTCTCGTAATGACAAGACTTCTTGATTACTGAGACCTTGATCATTGATGTGTGTTGGAGACGGAGAAGGCGGAATTGCAGATCGACTTGTGATTAGATCGGATCTGAACAAAGCTGAGATGAAATCGCATCTGGAGCGGACGTAGACGAGACGACACGCAGTATTCTTGATGCCGAACTTGCTATGGAGCACAGAATCACGCGGCCAAACGTAGGAGTATCAGGACGAGTGGCGTAGCGACGTCAAGCCACCACAAATAGCCTCAAGACGACGACTCCATCGTAGGTGAGCGTCGCCGCCGCTAGAAGCCAAATTGCCACGGATGGGATTGATCTTGAGGTCCATCTGGTTCGCCATGGATCAGCACGCACGAACCCCTACTTGACGCGCTAACTGTCGACAAAAGATGTTCGGCAGTCCACCGAGGGTAATCCCGTGATGGTAGATTTGTCGGTGGGGTGCGCGTAATCAGGAACCGGATGGTGACACAAGGCGTAGAGACAGCGATTTAGACAGGTTCGGGCCGTCTAATCGACATAATACCCTACATCATATGTCTTTGGTGTATTGTATTGTATATGAGATGCAGTAGCCGTTGACTAGGGGACTCCTGCCTCTCTTTATATATTCTGGAGGGGTAGGGTTACAAGAAAAGTAGCATATTTGGTACTATACAATATCTTATGGTGCACGTTGACCAGTGCTGTGCACGCCTTGATCTTGTGGGCTGGGCCACCTTTGAGGGTACGGCTCATGTCTTGTCTTGTGAATACCGGGGGCCATACCCCCACAGTGGGTGACCTCCTCCAGCGACGGCGGTGCGGCGCGTGGATGGGCTTGGCGGGCCCGTGGGTGGGCTCGCTGGGCTTATCCATGGGCTTTTCTTTTTTTCTTTTTTTATTTGATTAACCGAGACGGGTATTTGAACCGCCTCGGTAAAGCCACGATTAACCGTGACCTATCTACCGAGGCGGTTTAACCGCCTCGGTTAATAATATTTGCCGGCCACGGTTACATTTTTATGTAGTAGTGTTGGAACCGAGTCAGGATGAATTAGTCTGCCCATCCGATCAATGTGCGATGAAAAGAGGTGGTGGCCATACAGTAGTATGTGCCATTTCTGCAGAAGAGCTAGCATTTTGTATAGCACTTCAGTAGGTGAGATGGGGAATTTATGCTTAATAATTTAAATCCTGTTTCCCATCGTCCATACAAAAGCAAATAACTTCACATCATAGGAATTGACCCCAGGATAAATCCAGTGATTATAGGTTGTGGCTAGATAACATGCATTGATAGAAGATATGATCGACTGTTCATACCCTCCTTCCAATTTTCTTCAAAGTAGCCCCTGTTTGAGGTTGGTTATGAAATGCTAGCCAAAGGAAAACTCTCCGGCTCCGTTTAGTTGGGCAAAGTTTGCGCATGCAAACTTTGCATAGTGAAGATTCCCTACTGTAGCATTTCGTTTGTATTTGTGAATTATTGTCCAAACATTGACTAATTAGGCTCAAAAGATTCGTCTCGCAAAATTAAAGCAAACTGTGCAATTAGTTTTTGATTTCATCTACATTTAGTACTCCATACATGTACCGCAAATTTGATGTGATGGGAAATATTCTTTTTGCATAGTGCACTTTTCAGGAGTTTGGAGGAACTAAACAAAGGCTCAGTTTAAGTGGCATCTTATTCTTCCTAGCTTAGCTTCTTTAATCCTTTTTACTAGCTAGTGAACCCACCCAAGGATAGCGGTCAATAAATAGATCTTGAGGTGTAAGTTCGTTCCTCCATACTTCTCAGGGCAGTCCCAATGGTGTATTGATGATGATTTCTATCCTCATTAAATGACTTGTCACGTAGGCAAAATGCTGACATGGCAACGTAGTTAATGAAGAAAGAGAGCAAAAATCATAGAAATGGTTTCCTCATGAAGAAACCAGGTCTTCTCTTGACCCAATGCACCAAGAAATCATGAAATCGCTATTGGGGAGAAACCACTAGTTTCTAGGGGGCTCGTGTCACACTCCTATTGGAGGAAGAAGATAGAGTTGGGAGAGAGAAAGAGAAAATAATTATTACTCATAGAAACAATGGGGTGGAAATTAGTATTTTTTTGGTGCGGTATCCTATGTTATAGAAACTACTAGTTTCTTTTATTGGGACTGCCCTCGTATCTCCAAATTAGTTGATCATTGTCATCATTTAGATCTATCTCACCTAACATATTAATGAATTCTTTCCAACCGTTTCAGTGCAAACGTCCTAGTAAATTGCAAGAGTACTATATCCCATCAAAGGCTGTAGGGATCGGGCGACCTCCAAGCACATGACCGTGAACTAAGCGGGGGACAACATCAATTAGGTCAGAAAACTTAACCTAAGGCAACTTCACACAAGATGAACTTACACATGAAAGATGTGTAACTAAGGTTAGTTAGTGCTCTACCTATCAACTACCCAAAAGTTTCACACACTGCCAAAACGTACTCTAGCCTAGCTAGGAGCTACTCTACGGATGGTTAAAGGCACACAACAAAACTAATAATTCTAAAATGATCGAACGAACAGCATTGCATTGTGCAGATGTTTATTTTTAAAAACTGTTATTTTTTAACTAGGATATTCTGGTAAGTGTTTAATCCTCTACTAAGAGCATATTCAACAATGCAACTCAAATCAGACCCCTACTTACCTGTTTGGGTAGCCACCCATTTTTCATACTACCTTTTTTTTTTCTTTCAAAACCAGCAATGCTACCTACACCATGCCTCTCAAATTCATTTTAGGAGTGGATGATCCCTTCCTTGTCGCCATTGACGAACACGGCCACATATAGCGAGCAAGCTGCCGCCGGTGGAGTGGTCGGAGGAGGTTGCTGGAGAGTAGCCGGAGGAGGGCGTCGCGCCCCACACTGGCAGGCCAGCCCCTCCTACACTGGGGAGGGCCACCACGCCTGACCTAGAGAGGTGCAGAGGGAGAAGCAGCCTGTGGGGAGGAGTGGCCAGCGGGTTGCCGTGCTGGGGAGGGCCGCGCGCGGGGAGGGCGTGCTAGAGGGCCACGTTGTCGAGGGCGCACTAGGAGGGTCACCGCACCGGCGAGGAGTGCCTCGTAGGAGAGGAGCGTCTCGCCAGGGAGGAGCGGCCGGCGGGTCGCCACGCGCGGGGAGGAGTGGCCGGCGAGTTGCCATGCGAGGGAGGGCGCGCGAGAAGAAACACCGAATAAACTTTTGGTTAGTCTAGTTGTGGAGCAACAAGAAGGGTAGCTGGGTTTTTTTTTTGCCTCCACTGCCTAAATTGTGGATAGGGGCCTAGTACGGGGTATTGCTGAAGATGCTCTAAGATACTCCATCTGTTCCAAAAACAACTATTGTTTTAAGTTCAACCAAAAATATATAAAATAAAAGAACATCAACACTTATGACACTAAATAAGTACATTACAAAAATATATTTCATAATGAGTCTAACAGTATTTATATGATATTATAAATATTAGTATTTTTTTATAAGCTAACTTAGGATAAACCTAAAACAACAATAACTTTAGGACCGAGAGCCCACGCAGTTATGGTGGGCCGCCAACACAGAGCCCATGCAGTTTTCTCTTTTCTGCCAGCCCAAATGCCCAAATATACGGGTTCCTGTGATTCTATCTGGTACGCATCTATAGATCAGGGCTCCGTGCTACCAAACCAGGCACGCAGCCGCCATTAGTGTCCGCCATCATCACCCGTACGAAAATGCTGAGGCAGCTTCATCTGTGCCGCGTTGATGCCGTGCGCCTCTTCGGATGCCGACCCTCCCTTATCCAACGACACTTCCTCCGAGCCTGCAGCAGCCACCGGAGCCTGCAGCAGCCAAAGACCCGCGATGGGTGATGCTGAACCTCCGTGGCCGCCGCATGGACAACTCATTCGTCGCTGACTCCAAGACCGTCGCGGGCTCCCGCACCCGCTTCCCAGGCCAACAACACCTACGCGTCTCTTTGGGAGGCGCCGCGCCGCCGGCGAGCTCCTTCCTCGATCTACTACGATTTTCCAGATAGCGTGCCTGGCGAGGACGACGACTACGACGACATCAGGGTCGACGTCGTCGCTGCCCATACGAGATTCGGTCCTCTTGAGGAGATTAGGGTCTCTGTCTCTGCTCCCCGATCGAGATTTTTTGACGAAGACCGAGAGGGTCTATGCACACCGCCCCAGGTTGTACAGTGGGAGCACAGGGCTGCTGCGACGAGGCGAGAACGATCTCCTCGTGGTCCAGGTCGACCTGTGGTACGATCTCGATGGGCGACAGAAGATGGTCGAGTTTTGTGTGCTCCGCACCGGCACCGGCACCGACATGCGCCAGTGGGAGCTCATGGAGCCAGTGCCCATTCTTCAGGATGACGACAATGAGGTGGCGCCAGTGGAAGGCAATGCTGTCATCCCTGTCGGCGACCGTTACCTATGCTGGGTCGACTGCAAGAATGGCTTCTTCCTCTGCGACATGGCTGACGAGGCCAGGCCCAAGGTCCGATACGTACCTGTGCCTGCTGAGGTGAGCCGTTGTTGCAGCTCTGATGACCACGACGACTACGACGACAAAGACCTGTTTCCATTGAAGTACACCAAGAAGATGGGCGCCGCAGGGGCTAGCAGAGTGAGGTTTGTCAGCATCGACCCCCACTGCTGCTGCGGAGGTCCCGGCAGGAGCACATGCGCGCACTCCCACTTCGCCTTCACCGTCAGGACCTGGACGATGGATCTCAACATGGACGACAAGCCATTGGCGTGGGTGAAAGACGGAGAGATGGACTGCGAGGAGGTCTGGGCGCTTCTGGGATACGAGGGCCTCCCGCGAGCAAATCTCCTGTGCCCCGTCGTGTCCTTGGACAACCCCAATGTTGTCTGCTTTTTGGTCTCCCATCGTCGCTTGAACAAAAACGAGGATCTGAAGGTATGGATGATTCAGCTCAACATGAAGTCCAAGACGCTGCTGTCAGTCGTGCAGCTCACAGGTGCCTCGAGAGCGTTCGATCATTTACCGGCAGAACTTCAGTACAAACCAGAGAACACAAGGTAAAGGTTTTCAGTTATTCAAATAATCTCGAATCTAGTATGACATTACTGCTAGTTACCCGCAGATTTTGAAATTTGAGCTGGTGTGTAATTGTGTAGCCGGGCAACAAAATTCATTATAAAGCCATCACTTGACATAAGTATTCTCATGGTCAATTTACTATGTTGTCATCATAATTTATAGCTAAAAACATTATGAAAAATAATAATCACGTCTTAATTTGCTTAAGGAGCCACCTCTTCCTCCTCAGTGTGCTTCAACAGTTCGGATGTCATACAAATCTAGCTAAGATGTCATACAACTCTAACTAGGATCTGGAAAGGGGCGCTGGCAGCACATACAGAGAAGGGCATGGCGAGCGAAGTGTATCATTGGAGAGCGACTCTTGACTCGTAATGCAAAAAGAGTGGAACAGGGAGGAGCAGTTCCCTGATGAATCTATACAGAGCGGTTGCGTTTGGCAGTGCTCATTGGTTTCTCACGTGATGCGGAGTAGGATAACCGCTGTGAAACCAGCCCTACAAAAATCTAGGTGGACTGATCTTTTTATTAGTCTCGTTACCAAATGCATGAGCGCCTTTATGGCTCGACGTGGCAGTGATGATAAAGTAAAATAGTGAATCAACCAGATAAATGTCTAGGAAAAATTCAGCTGTAAAACAGTCAAAAATGATTGTTTCCCAGAAGAGTCATCAAAAATATGTTCATGCAAAATATTTGTCTTAAACTGAATACATAATTGTATTGTATGGTCCTGTTTGGTCCAATTTTTATCGGAAAAGCTTCCCTTATAAACTGCATAGATAGACAAAAAAAGGATGATCAATAATCAAAGATACACTGGTATGTTTTAGCTTCTATGTTTTAATACAAATGAAGTATGCGGGGAAGAAGTATGGTCCAAAATGGTTGTAGAAAAGTATAACAATTAACTTGTCTTAGCTTATTTTATTTATAAGCAACTTATAAGTTGTACCAAAGTGCATGTTCGATGTTGCTAACGATGAGCATGACTCGCAAGACACGCTGACACATGATATATATAAGCACGCAAAACGTTAAATCCAGAGGGCATCCATGTCTGAGGCACGAATTTGAAGTTGTTATATGGTGTGCCGTAGGTGGCCTAACAAGACTTGGCCACCGCATCGCCGCTAAGTGTTTTACACTAAGAATATATTATGGCTTCAAAAGTAGTGGAAACAAGAAAAGATAAAATTAAATTGATAGATTTGAATGTGAGTGAATTGAATGTCCATTTTGTGAAGTTGTCAAAATAGGAAAATGACCTCACCATTGCATTCCTCTTGTAGAGATGGTGAAAAACCATATAAAGAACGTCTAATTCGGAGCCTGGATGAAACAGTTATGCCCCGGCAAGATGCTCCAGCATCGGAAGTTTTGACCCATGTTGGAAGTTCCGAGGGTTAGAGGTTCCTACGGTCGTCAGAAGTTCTGACATTTGGGTTGGAACTTGTGGCAGAACCACCCAAGTTATGATGATTCACACACACTTATCATTGTCTTAAATACTTCTAACCATTATGCGTGGGACTCACATAACTCCGGTAGTCTATCGGGCGTCCTCGGAGATCCCGAATCATCCACTTTTCACATCCGATCAGGATCATTACAGAAGACATTGTATTATTACAACAGTTGATACAAATATATTACATCAGAGTTAAAGAGCGGAAGTATTACAAACCATAAGTTTACAAACCATTTATTTAAGTTTACAAACCATAAGTTTTTGCCTTCTCAAACGAAGTAGGGTAGCATGACTAACACAACTTTATTCATTACATGAAAGTATCATCTTGCCCAAGGATGGGAGTACAACACATCTACTGCTGGCTATCATCTTCTAGAACCGACATACAACAGGGACAAAAGCCTACCTGCTTTTGGGGTTCACCTGCAACAGGGGTTAACAAACCCTGAGTACTGAATTGTACTCCGCAAGACTTACCCGACGAAAAGAAAAAGACTCCAAGGGTATGCAGGCTCGAGGGATACAAGATAAGTTTTAGCAAGAATCAAGATTACCATTTGCGGAAAAGCTTACTAAAGTGGATCCTTACTATCATATGTGTGAGGCAGAACCGTCCGAAATAGCACACTTACGGAGGCGCTCGTCTTCCACTAGACACTAAGCACCCCGAAAGCGAGATACTTCGAGCAGTTCCGTCGGGCACACCCTAAGGGAGAACTCGAATAATCCACATTTTTCATCCAGGATCAAATAATGAGAACGAGTTTATAATACTTAGTCCATTTCATACAATAAGCGTTCTTGGAAATAAATTATTACAATACCAGAGTTTAGAGTGTGGAAATTAAACAGAGGAATTAAAATAAACATCTAGCGATACGATATAAGGATCCATCTGTGCCCACCAGAAGAATCCTCCACTCAAAAGCCATCCTTAAGCTGCACCTACAACAGGGGTAAATAAACCCTGAGTATACAATGTACTCGTAAGACTTACCCGACTAGTGGGAATAGTTTCCCAACTCCAACGGATATGATAGGCATTATGGCTTGATGGTTTTCTTTCAGCAGAAAACATTACTAATCGTGAATCCTTATGTGTTCATTTTATTAGCAGTCCAGATTAGTCCATTAACTAACCATTCTAGGTAAGCACCTGTTCTACTTTCAAGCAGAAGTTGAGCAATCAGATACATTCTTCACCTTTCATCTTCCAGTTCTTGCTACGATGCTAGATCATAGTCATGCCGTACCGCATCACGCGGCGATTCGCGAACCAATGTATCCCAGATGGATACCCTGAAACACACGCTCCGCTTGTACCCTAGGCACAAGCGAGACCAACCCACCACCCACCTGTTACGGGGTCTAGGTCCCATCCAAACTTGGACTCCAAGCCCCTGCTCCTGAGTCCCGGACTCAGTGCGGTGCTTAGACCTTCACCATCTCCGCCTCTAATCAGTTGGTCTAGAAAGAGCCAGAACCCATGACAAGAGAGCAATGAGCCTTCCCGTACCCATACATAAGTATGTGTCCAGGATAATAAGTCTGTGACCTAACTACCATCCACAGCAACGGACGGTCCTTAACCGACACAGACAGGGAAAACAGTGTAACCAAGTGGTGCCCCATTGGCCACGGGACATAACCTGTTACACCCACCAATACCCGTACCATATCCCTGCCGGGTCTTATTTCTCCTTTCACCATTTTATTATGAGAGTAGTAATGATAATCACCTACTGTGAGTAATGGCAGGTTACTCACGCTACCGAAAAACCTACGCATTGCAGCTACTCGATCTATACTAGTAGGACTCATAGGTAGATATATCTATGCATGTAGTTTTCACCAAAGTCCTAAAACGTAATGCACATCTCATATATATATAGTGATTATTTAAAATAAGGGTTATACACCGGGGCTTGCCTTGGGCAGGCGGGGTGTCAGCAAAGTCAGCAGCTGGTGGCATCGGGGCTCCCTCCGGTACGAAGATCTCCTCCTCGTACTCCTCGATCACCTCCTCATACTCCTACTCACCTACGGTCACGAACTCTACCAACTCGTTCTCTACATGTATGAAATGACGATGCAACACTTAGTAATACGACAACAGCAACTCTTAAAATAAGGATACATCTACTAAGCTATCAAGCTAGCTCTAATGACTAAGATACTAAGCTAAGCATCATTTCCATCAAACCAGCAGGGTTTCACCTAACAAGTGCTACTTAACCACTAAAACATATTCTTACTCTTATTAACGATTTAATATATGTATATACTAAAACAGGAGTACTTAGCTACCTTATTTCTCAACCTATTCTAGGGCTACAAAAATTATAGTGAGCATATAATAATATAACGAACCTACTGTAAAAATTTTATGGCCAAAACTATTACCAATTTGCCACAAAAATTCATACAAATATTCATCTAAATAATGCTAAGCTTTCCTAAATAAATTAATGGACCTAACCTTCTCATAGATAAATGTAAACTAACTACATCAACAGATAGATCACATTTTTATTAACCTAACAAATTTTGTTTCACTATTTTTGGACACCTGCTCGAATTGATATGCTTTTTCCAAAGTTATACTTACAACATAAAATAATAAGCTATTTCTAATCCTTAATAAAAAGGAAAATGATTCCCTCCCGCGCGGCCCGCGCGCGTGCCGACCAACTTGCAAAAACGCCCTCATGTTCTCCTATAATACTACTAACACTATGTGCACTATTTCAACAGACTATGACTTTGCAACAAAACCCTCGTTCCTTCTCTCCTTCACAACGAAGAGTTCCTCGCCCTGGCCGCGCATGCCGGCGCGGCGACCGATGTCACTGGCGACCCCTGCTGCCCAACCGAGACCTTCCCCGCCCTATCTAAGGGACCGGTGCTCACCTAGACGCAAATGCGAATCGATGGGCGGTGAAAACATGGGCTGGGACATCGTAACAAGACCTGGCCACGCCGGCACAGATCCTACGGCAACAACAAGGGTGTTCCGGTGAGCTCTGGCATAACAGATGTCATTGAAGCAGTGGACAAGCATTAGTGACTCACCACGCAACTACTTGTGGCGGTGGCTTGACCAGAGATGGCCTGGGCCCGTCTGGCCACGTGCGCACGGCAAGCCCTATGGCAAACTGCGGTGGCATGGCCATGTCAGTGTCGTGGGGGTGGTAGTATGGTTAATGCTTAGGTGCGCATGGCGAGAAGGAGTGCCAGACGGTGCTGGGGGTTCAACCAATTTGGCTCGAAGTGAGGAGATGGAAGCTACCCACGGTGAGGCGGGCTAGACCTTTAATGACGCAGCGGTGGAAGGAAAACTCCAAATTGGAGTTCGGCCATGCCTCAATTGACACGGGGTGGGGACAGTTGGCCAGGAGACTTGACGACGGCGCCAGAGATGCTACGCCACGGTCTGAGATGACTTCACCCTGCAGTATTCACTGCTGTGACATAGTCGGCGATGGGGGAAAAGGTGGGGGTGGTGAAC